TTTTTTTGGGGGGGAAAGGATTTTGAAAACAAATACCATACTGGAGACAAACAGCAGGGAGAGAAGAGTAAAATACTTTAACAATTTCCTTCATACTTCCTAAAACATTTAACATCTGTGACCTTGAAGTCCAGTATCATGAGACTTTTGAGATGCAACTATTATGCTTCCCATTGGAAAATGATTTAATATTTCCAGTAGGCAACTTGGGCTCTAACCTTGGGCTATAAGACATCAAGCACTGGCCTTTTCATTAGTCCTGGACGACTCTTGGACCTTACAGCACCTTAAACAAATAGCTTGGGGAAGAAGTGTGAAGTAATGTACATATTCAGTGAGAAGAAAGAATTCTTTTCTTACAGAAGGTTAAGTTGCTGAAGAACGCTGCCCACTGAAAACTCTGCAGAAACATTAGAGGAATTTCTCTGATTGACTTATGCAAAGGCATAATGTTACAGTCAGTGCTGGCAGCAGATGCCATTTGACACACTGCTGGGTCTGTGGACTTTCTGCCTGCGATATGGGGCAAAACTTAGATTTTATACAAAGCTCTACTTTATAATTTTTTGTCAATTGTCAGGTAATTAGCGTAAGGAAGCTGAAGTGTTGGTCGACCCATGTATGCGAATACTGTCACTGTCTGGAGAGCCGCTTCCTCTCCAGCTGCTGCAGAAAGTTTGAAGAGCAGAAGAACTGGGTGCTTCAAAGCATCTGCTTGAAGGCTCCTTTGCAAAGGTCACTTGTCAGCACAATGTGAAAATTTCACTGCATGTAGTTCTAAATAATTAATTACTGCAGAGCACAATCTTTTAATTTACATCTATCAAACTTTCATCAGCCTGCAGACAAACTCCAGTGTCTCTACCAGTCCTCATAGCTTTGCTCAGTAGCAAAATATATTCAACAAGAACTTATTCTTTTTTTGCTGGTGTTATTCAAAACTGTGCCAAGTCTTGTGTACTTCTTAGTTTCAATTGTCAGATTAGCCATACCTGGTGGTTCCAGGATGGGATATGTTTCTCTAGCCAAGGACAACTTATTATACACGGGGTTTTTTTTGTAGGAAACACTACTTAAAATGAATTGAATAAATCAGCAGCTGCAATGTCTTGCTTTCAATGTGAAGGTGGTCACTCAGTGCATTTCCAAAGACTATTTAGTACCTGTTAAGCATGCGATGCCTGTCTACCTTACCAAGAGAACCTGTTGGCACAATCCACTTTTCAAAACTGTGTTTCAGACTATAGTTTTTCATGCTCTCCTTTTATATAATTCAGTACCTAGATGTCAGTCATGAATGTAACCTGGTGCTTCCTTCCTCAGTAGGTAATAGAGAGCATAAATATCCACTAATTCATCACAAATGGGCAATAATAATGAATTAAGATGGGAGTTTTCCATTTGCTTCTAACTCTCTCTCAAAAATCATCCTTCCAGAACTTGTGTTTTGACTTGTTCACTGTTTAATCTGTCAATTGTATTTTTTCCACTATAAATTGATAAGTATTTAGTGTAAATACGTGTACCATGCTCCAGGATGTTGTCTCTAATAAAAGAGGTTCATCTGCCACTATTTGAGATATTTTTGGGCACCTGGGTTAGGTTAAATTTGTGTCTTTTAATCTTAGCGTCTAACTTTGTAATATATATTTGTCAAAATTCAAGATTTTAAATAGCTCACAAAAATTTATGCTGATGTCCTTTCTCAACTATTAAATCTATTAGCAAAATAGCCAAATACATAAAAAAGCATCTCAATGTCTCCTTCTGTATATTATTCTTTTGTTTTAGTCTCTTCTTTGGAAACAAATGTAGAAGCTGTCTAAAAGTCAACATTACCACGCTGTTAACGCAGATGTTTCCAGGTCTAAGTATAACTTATAAGATATTACTATGGAAATTTCAGATACTACTTTTTGCTAATGGTTAGCAAATGATAGCACTTTAATAGCAACCATATGTGTATATTGATCGGTTGTCTCAACCTTCCCTCATTCTGGGCATGTGTAAAGAGCAGATGTCTTTTGCATATTACGTTCTGTCTCAAAATACAATTTTAATCAAAGTTCAGAATGAACACACTCTTAAGGACTATAGGCATACAGGGCTTTTCCCTGGATGGCAGTTATTAAAGCATCACTCATGCTTTGAACACCCTTAGCCGTATGACATTTACTGTAAAATCTGGGAGTTTTTCCATTTTCTTTTTTGCTTCATGACAGCTTTGGGTAATTCGCTCATTGGAGGCTGCTAGAGGACAAACGGGTGCACAACAGGGTGCTCGAACACCAACACACTACAACAGCCCCACGTCGCCCTGTGCCAGACCTGGGTGCAGCTGGTCTGGAAAGACGCCCCAAGTATTTCCTCACTGTAAAGATCACAGTGGTTTTGGATAGTCCATAGCAGGCTAAGCTGGACAGTTTTTAAACATTAGCTGTAATTTAAGTAAAAATGAGGTTTGTGCTATCACCAAAGCCATTTCTGAATTTGGGCCGCATCTGCCAAATAGATTTCTTGGAAAGAAAAAGAGGGGGAAATTTTACAAATATTTTTTTTGTAAAATCACTCTCCCCTGCCTTTTTTTCCCCACAATTTATGCAATTTTAAGAAGGTTTAATTAAAATATACCCTGAAAGTGAATGCTGAACCTCAATTTAATTTTTTAGGTATTAAATCTTGCCACAGAAACCTTGCAATCAAATAAAACCAAAAAAACCCACAACCAAACAAATCCAAACAAACAGAAAAACCTGGGAAAATTCCTACTTTTTTAAAAAAGCTACTGAACTGAACTATGAAATCTACTATTTGCACAATTCAAGTCCAACTGTAACCCCCGCTATAAAGACCCTCTGTATTTTAGAGATGGTATTTGCCAACCGCTCCTTGGGGCATACTGCTCCTTCTCAACTCTCCTAGTACTGCATTTCGCAGAGCAGAGCACTATTTGATTGCAGCCTCTTCAAAGCTTATTATGCCCATATTTCAAGTACAAAAGCCAAAATAACTTGCAGTTTCTCCCTAAGCAGTCCTAGTGGTTTTGGATAGATTGTATGATGCAGCTCAGACTCATGTGCTAATTGTTAATTTTAGAATTTAAATAGGTTTTGTTCTATTCAAAGGCAGTAGGCTAAAGGTTTTGGAAAACGCTGGTTTTAGAAAAAAGTTTAGGTCTCTTAGAGTTTGTGAGCGAATTAGCTTTTGAGATATCTTTAAATGACACTTAATACAAAAAACTTTAGTTCATGCTGAATGTGTATGCTTTTCTGGACTATAATTATAAGATTATAATTATTTTTAATGTGCATTATCTTTAAAAAATCATGGAATATTAGTTGTTTATACAAACATAGATTTTGCCCTAATTGTCTGTAGCCAGTAAGGGTGGTATTCCAAAATAGAGCTGGCTATTTCAAGTCATGTTTCATTTTGAACAATCTTGCTCTTAAACACTAAAATGTTCTTCTATTCCTTTCTGAATCGAGACCTCATTTATTCCTGTTATTCATCTACTTACAAGTGAGGGATATTTATATATTCAGCTTATTTCCAACTGCAACAGATTTTTAAATGGAGATGAATATTTTGATCTGCTGTTAGGCTTCTTTATATATTATATGGCAGAAACATAAACCGGATCTGTGTGCGCCGTTTCTAAGTTAAACCTAGTTTCCAATAACAAAATTAGACACAGAGGTAAGTTTTTAATTTGGATTAACTTAATTTGGCAGTTTTAAGTGACAGGACGATTGGAAAGGCAAAGAAAGCAAAAGTTGGCTAATTTCAATGAGGTATTTGTGTTTAACAGCTAAGGCTAATAATACCCTTTTTCTGCATCCTGGGTTGGTTTATTTTCTTTTATGCCATTATTTGTGTTTAGTGAACAGCTGGGCCAGTAGTTCCCATTTGTAGTCTTTTAGCTCTGTGAAGCAGCAGAGAAAGTAATGGACGTTTGCAAATTAATACCTGCCGTTATTTTCTGCTAATCTGATGTAGCTATCCTTTTTGAGCATAGATGTAATATCAGAGCAGAAGTAATTACTGTGTTAAAACTAGTACTGCAGTAGAATATTTTGCTAATTAAACTTGTTGCATTTAAATTGCTTCCTTGGATCACCATATAGAAGAGAACTGTTTTGAACAATAAATGAAACCACTTTCTTTCTCAGAGGCCTAGAATTGCAGATGGTCAGATTGTATGTGAAGCACCTAGGCTCTGAATTAGTCTTTTGTATGAAAGAGAGAAAGGTAATTTGAATGTTTGAACTCCCTGTTCCTCCCACACATACACAGGAAGCTTGTCTCAAAATGAACAATTCTCTAAATAAAGACTAATAAGAAGCTAAATTAATTAGAAGGTGTGATTTGAAAAGACATTGATGAGAAGAGTCTGTCATTTTAGACAAATGGAATGGAGCTAAATAAATTAGGCCACATTAATATCTCATTGTTCTGTGAGCAGCTTTCTTTTATTGCATTCATTAGAGGGTACTTCTTGAAATGAGTCTTTGCTAGCCATTACGGATTCAGTTCTCATTTACCAATGCCTAACACACAGCTCCTGCATTAAAAATGTTTCAGCAAATCCTCATAGTTTCTGCAAATTAATATTTATATTTCTGGATGCTGCACTTTTCATCTGCAGCATAGTAGGCACTGAACGTTAATTTTTTTTTCCCACTGAATTGTCAGTAAAGAAGTCTTACATCAAAAGATTTGGAGGCAGAAGTCTGAAATCACTTTATAAAATAAACTGTATGCATAAATTGTACAATAGAATCTTCCTCCAACTAGTATCTTTCCAGTATTTATTTATTTTGGTAGAAAATACCCTGTCTTATGACTTCAGGAGTCCTTTGATAGCTTTTTTAAGTGTCTTCTAAAAGGTTGCTTCAGTATATAATTAGGATACATTGGAAATGCGCATCTCATCACGCATTTCTTCCTCTCAGAAAACAAAATGTATATTCTTCCTTTTCTTTTTCTCTCTCCTGCAGATGGAATATTTGGGAGATGTCAGCGAGTGCCAGTAATAGACATCTATAAATATGACATTTCACCCCCTGTTCTTCAGCGCCTAAGGATCATCCTGGAGAAGCTCTCACACAGAGGTATAGTAAAAGCTCTTGAGTAGGGTTAGTTGCACTGGGGTTTACAATTATTTTGTGCTGCCTCTGAGGTGACGTCTTCAGTTTTCGAACGCGGTGTGTTTCAGGCCCAGTAGCTCAGAGTTTATAAAAGTAAAAAGCCATCTGACTCACTGAATCTGCAACAGGGACTTAGTGAAGAAATTTCAGGAGAGGTGCTTCCTCTCTATGTAGTGCGTATCTGTGACTGACACTAGACACTATGCAATACAATTTTAGCATCTATGAATGCTGGTGTCGTATAAATAAATCAGTAGGAAAGAAAAATAATTTGCCTTGTATAGTTTTGCACCACAGCATATTTCAGGGTGTGTGGGCAGAAAACACAACTTCTAGTGAGCTAGAAACAGTTCTTTACTTTCTAATGAATTCAGATAAGTAAAACTGCTCTGATTTCATTACAAGCTGTATATACTGCATTCCTTTTAATTTTTATTCAGCTTTCTGAAGTTAATCTCTGTGCTCTTTCCAAAGCTGGAAAGGATGTTCTAGCTTCTCAATGGCATAACTTGAGCTAACAAATCAAAACTTGGATAAAGTGAAAACCAATAAGGTTTGTTTCAACAAACTTTTTAGGTACTAATACATGAAATATACCTCTGTAGTAGACAGCCACAGGACCAAGAAATCTTTGTGATCTCAATTGTTCCAAGAGGATTGTTGGAATGGTTAATTTTGCTCTTGCATCATTTGTGTGGGTGTTTGTTCCTACATATTTTGCAGTTACAAACTAGTAGTATTGTATTAGCATTAACTAGTTTAGTTATGAGAAAAAATTGATTCTTGGAAGTTCATGACTATACTTAGAGGCTGGGCTTCTAGTTTGGAGACGACTGATTTAATGGATTCAAAAATTTCCAGGGATTTATTTCCTGTCCAGCAGCCCATCCAAATGAAGCAAACTCTACAGAACTTGGTTGTAGTAAATCCTGGCTGATTAACAGTTACATGTGAATAGTACTTGTGGGTCTTTCACTTGTTATGTTCTAGAGGCTAAGTTATGCAAGCAAATTTATGAAAATACTGTTTCATCAGAGCAACACTGTATGAGTGGAAAAGCTTGTATCTGCTCTCTGAATATAGTGAAGAAGCAGGGCTAAATTCATGTCACTAAGACACTTAAATTGGTATCTAAATTGATTATGCTTGCACAGACAGCCAGCGCTCATTTACGTTGCCTGAATATCGGCAATGAGTCCTATGTAAAACTTCCTCCACAGGGATGTCAGAGGCGAGGGACCTGCAGGAGACCCACGCCCTTCTGGAGGGGCACATATAGAGGCTGATGGGATACCCCAGGCCATCTCAAATGACACTTACATGTCTCTACCTCCCTGACTGCCATAACATTTTAGTTAGTTCAACTGAATTCATGTAACCTTCCCCTACTAAGTGCTTCTCTGATCAATAAACTGACCTCCCCTAGGATCTCTGTTATCATCAAACCACATCCCTGGATGTATCTGTTGCAGTAAACTGCAGTGTGCTTCTTTTAAGGAAATTTAGGCATTGAAATCTGGACTTGTCATATTTTTTCATAGCAAGAGAATGACAAGGAACACACAGATTGAAACCATGGTGGAGAATGAAAGTACTTTTGCTTTTGTCTTTCTTTACTCGTGACATTTAGAGGTGCATATACAAATGTGTATATGCTTTGAACTGATATAAAACTTTTGCAGGCAGTTTTTGTGGCCTGTGGGTATCCCAGTGATGAGAATCTTAAATATATCTGTAGAAGATAATAGAATGCTAGAATGCCCTTGTTAAAATGATTGATGTGATAAAAATCACTTTTTTTTTTTTTTCTTTTTTTGTACTCTCAGTATCCTTGGCAAATTCTGAAGTGTTTAGTGAGGGCGGAAATATGGAAGGAGTAGAATCAATACAGGCTATCAGATTAATGGATTACTGACATCAGGTGGCTCAGAGAAGACTCTGCTGTTTGCTGGTGCTATCAGATGTAATACATCCAGCCCTTAGGTCATGTTCGCTGGCTGTGATGGTCACTTGCACAGTTAATGCTGTTCTCCTGCAAATTGTGTGCAAAACATTATGACCATTTCTGCAGTCTAGATAAGCAAGACGTTGTCAAGCCCACACAAAAGTTTCAGGTAACCTCAAGAAAGGGCTTCTCTTTTTCAAAGGTCTTATTTCCTTTATCTATGTAATACCCAGTTCTTGTCCTTTCCAAAAGAGTAATGGCTAGCTGCACTTGGTGATGCCCAACTTCCCTGGAAGGCATAGGGGACAGCATCAATTCTCTCCTTTTTGTAAAGAGCAGGACAAATTTCACTTGGAAGACTATATAGCAAGTCCCACAATAAGTAAAACTTTTAATAATCTCTATATTGAACACTTTCTATTTTTATTAGGCATATATACAATTAAGGACCAGATTCTTTAGAGGTTACTAACTTGAGTGGTTTTCTAGGGTTTTATTTGTTTATTTATTTTTCTTATGTGACTTAGTTTTTCTTTTTTGTTTCCTTCCTGATGTCATCGTGCTGTATTACTAATCTCCTGTTTTTTTCTAGCAATAGTCTGTTGATATCTATTTCCATAGAATTAAAAAAAAAAAAATCCATAAAAAGCCTCATAAAATTTATGTTCTCTTTCTTTCCTATTTGCTGAACACTTCTGTCATGCCTATATTTGAATCAAGGTCCAAATGGAAGATTTTATGGTCAGGTGCTATAAAACAAAGGACAACATGATATGAATAGCAAATATCACTTGTGATTGTGCCAGCTCAAAATGTTTACTACAGTAAGGAAGCATGCAACAGGGGCTTAGATGAGTGACACACTTGATGATAATCTGTTTAATAAAGGACTTTAACTAAAAATGAATTCAGGTTTCATAATGGTATAGCTTTTATGTCTTCTTTACACATTGAGTCTATCTTCACCTACACTATCTACTAGTAGATTGATGATAGAAATTAATGCCTTGGAATATTAGTGTTTCCTACAAAGGAATGATCTATTAGCATTCAAATACCCTTGTTCATCCCATTTTCACTCACACTGTTCTTGAGACAGTCAAATCTTTCAAAATACCCTTTATGAAGTAGATTTTCTGCAGATTCAGGTTTTATAAATGTGACTATCTGTATGGGAAAAACCCTTCTCACAGTTGCTGAAACATGATGAATCACTTTCTGAAATTGGTAGTGGTATAAATTATAATTTATAAGGAGTTGAAACTTTTCTCATTGTCTGATAAACAGAACAATCACTGATGCTGTTTAGATAGGACAAAATCATTGGAAAAGGGGAATGAAGGGAAGTATCAGCATAGAGGGGTGAATGAGTAGTGCCTGAAGGTAGCGGAAATACTTGTCCCTATGGTTGATCTTCTGAGTCTTCTTGTCTAACTTGGGAGAAGACACTTGGAATATACCAAAATGCTAAATCATCTATATACTTCCCTGTTTGAGGTAAAATGCACAAAATAGATTTTTTTACTGAAATGGATTAAAGAGATGATAAAATGCTTTGTTTTCTTCTTGTCCCAACAATATTATCATGAAGGCAAAGTGATTGCATCACTAAGATTCTTAGCAAGATTGTGGAAACATGGTTTCACACTGATGGTTGACCTGTACGATTAGAAGCATGGAAAATGAGATAGAAGGACTAATCATGGTACATTATAAATCAAGCGTGAATGCATAAATAGTACTTGAAATATAAGCAATAATAAAAGAGAACAGTAGTATTTCTCAACTTGCTTACTCCAACAGGGATTTACATTTATTTCATAGAATAGTTTCTAACCAGTGGTTCAGACTAGCTGGTAACATGGTATACTAACTGTGAAAGTGCAGCTGCCATAGCAATGAGCATTGCTAGAAGAAAGAGCTCAGAGATGGAGCCTGAAGGACAGACTTCTTTAAAGACATCAGAACAAGGGTATTTGCTCAGGGTCACAAGTAGTGTCCATCTGAGTTAGGATTCTGCCTCTGGGAGTGGCCACTGCGCGTGTTTAGGGAAAAAATCTAAGGAAAGTTCAAGCATACAGAAGCGCTTCACAGCGTTCTTACTTTCTCAGCGTTGTGTGCTTGGTATATGGTTCTCCTAAGCTAGAAGTCATATTTTTGTGTTTGCTGTATTCCTGGTGGACACTGTTGCTAGCACAGTTTGATAGGATACTGTGTATTAGAAACAAGGTATGTTAGACTAATAATCGGTAGTTCAGCTTCTGTCTTCTGTTCTGCTTAAATTTTAACTAAATTACAGCTGTTGTCACTCTACTGAAGAAACTGTGCAGCATGACTATTTGGAAAACAGATCAGATAAATGTCTTTTGTTTATGTAAGTTGAAGTCATTACTAAATGATTTCTGGGTGTGCTTGTAGCTACTGAATTTTTGCTACAATACCTTCTTGTTCTAAACTTTACTTTCAAGGAAAGCAATTTCTGTTAGGCTATTATGAAGAAAGTCCTGCTTAAGATATTCAAATATCAACAGTGTTATTAGGAGAACCAAAAAGAGTAGGATACACTTTTAAATTCATTTACCTCAAGTCAGCAAGATATTCTTGAGAGGCTCATGAGCTGTGAAAATAGGCAACAGATTTACATACTGTTTGAAAAAATAGCACTTTTTTCCTCGTTTGTCTTCTTTGCAACCCAGAAAGCTCTTGACAGGGAGAAAAAAAATATTTGTTCTAAATTAATTTTAACCAGTTAAGTGTGAGGTGATTAATATAACTTTGCTAGAAATAGTTTTATACTCTTAGAGCAAATTTGTTTTAAAAACTAAAATGATTTACAATCAGTTAACTTGAAAATTGAAATGAATGTGACTTGTCACATGCAGCTTGTGAAGTACGAAAGGGTTGCTAAATATTTCAGTTGGGACTATTTTTCAAGGCAAAGTATCATTTGTTACTGCAACGAAGGTAACGGACTTGAAAGTAAACCTTTACATGCTCAGTTTTGAAATAAACTTAAAAG